TTATTTATTATTTTATCATAAATTTATAATGTCTTCTCCAAATGAGTTTTACGTTCCATCCACCGAAGAAATTGAAGCCTTCAATCCATTTTCACCATTTCCTCCAGAGGATGCAGCTGTAATTCCACAACCACATTCGGCCGGGACGAGGTGTAGCCAAACACATGTGAGCTGCGAGTCAACGGGCACGGACATAGCCCAACCCCCCCGACCGTCAAAGAGGGTCGTGTCCGATGTCTGGCGATACTTCACCAAATCAAAACGGCCAAAGACAAATGGGGAGGGGGAAGAATCGTGTGGGATATGTAATTTATGTGGAACCATTATTGGGGCTGAGAAGGGGACTTCGACGATGCGACGACACGTAGAGAAGAAGCATCCCCAAATAAATGCATCTTCAAGCGGATCAGGTAGACAAATTCAAACTCAACTTAATTTTAATCCACAATCCTCAACTCTCTCAACATGGCAATACAATACACATGTTGCACGAGAGGAAATAGCAAGATATATAGTTGCTACGGACTCTCCCATTTGTTTATCTGAAAATCCTTTTTTTGTTAATATGGTTAAAACTGCATTTTGTCCAGCATATACCCCTGTTAGTAGAACTACAAGTAGAAGAGATATACTAAAACTTTATAACAAAATAAATAATAAACTTAAAAACGAATTTCAAAATTTTAGGAATATATCTATTGCACTTACATCAGACATATGGGCTTGTAGATCAAAAACCGATTTTTTAACTGTTACAGTACATTTCTTAGATCATAATTGGGGTTTACAACAAAAATTGATAGGTTTTAAACCATTATATGAAAAACATAGTGCTGAAACTATTTATTTTACGATTCTTGAAGTTTTGCAAGAATATTTATTAACTGATAGAGTTGTAGCGCTAACGCTTGATAATGCAGCTGCTAACACCGCGGCAATATCTTTATTTGAAAAGAAATTGGATCCGCTTGGTGAAGGCAAATTTTATCACCAGAGATGTGCTTGTCACATCATCAATTTGATAGTTAAAGCAGGTTTAGATGCTATACATTCAAAGATGGAGAGGGTGCGTAGAGCTATCGGATTTATCGTCGGCGGTAGCAATAAAAGATGGCAGGAGTACGTCAAATATTGTAAGCAAGAGGACCCACCGGTTCGACCTTTGAAGTTATGTACAGACATGCCTATCCGTTGGAACTCTACCTACTTGATGTTGGAAAAAGCTTTGCCAACCGCGAAACAAATTACAGATTTCGTCAACCGGAAGACCTATCCAGAGGAAGTTGTCGATTATGATGATTGGGGGGTTTGTGAACTTTTTTATTCATTTCTTAAAATTTTTTATCATGCTACTAATACATTAAGTGGTATTTATTATCCAACTACTAATTTAGTGTTAGATATTTTAGTTCAAATTGCTAAAACTTTTGATCAATATAGACATGATAACATTTTTAGTGAAATTGTTTCAAGTATGGAAGAAAAATATAAGAGATATTGGTTAGATATTCCATTCTTATATGGATTAGGCCTTTTTCTAGATCCTAGGTTTAAATTATCCGTAGTTAACGGTGTAATTACTGAGCTAGGCCATTATTTAGAATATGATTATACGTCTTATTTGACTGACTTTAAAAACAAATTGGATAGGCTTTTTTCTTTATATGAGAACAGATACAATGCAAGTAGAAGTGGAAGTGGAAGTGGAAGTGGAACATCTGGGAGAGGCGATCAGGACCTTGATGTAGCCCCCCCTCAATGGTCGAGCAAGTGGGCGTATGTGGGACGTAGCGGAAGCTCCAGCTCTAGCTCCAGCTCGTACATACATAGACCAAATGAGATGACTCGCTACCTACAGGTGGACTTGACCTTTATGACGATGAAGGAGCAACTTGACATGGATATTCTTCAATGGTGGAACCAACAAGAAAGTCAATTCCCCATTATATCCCAAATGGCACGTGACATTTTATCTGTGCCGGTTTCTACAATTGCATCCGAGTCAACATTTTCAACGAGTGGTCGGATTGTTGAAGACAGAAGATGTTCTTTAACCGATGAGATGATTGAAGTGATAACGTGTTTACGGGATTGGACTCATGGAGAAAGAAGACTACAACAGCACCCTGAAGATCCCGAACTACTCGAACTCTTTAGGAATACAGATTTGAATAATGTAACTAGTGTTGACGATGAAAATGAAGATGAATAATTTAATAAAAAAATTATTTAATTGTTTATTTGTGAAGCGTGAATGTGTGAAATGTGAATATTATATTTATGTTAAAAATTAAAATTAACTATTAATTTATTATTTTTTAAAATTAATTAAATTTTTAGAAACTTACTAATCAACCCCTAAAAAATACTAAAAACCCCCTATAAAATTTCGTTTTGCCCCCAAAATATAAAAAAAATTGAGGGGGGAAAATAAAATTTTCCAAACCCCATGGGACCAGTCCCGACCAGGCCTAAGGCCTGGTCCGGGTCCTGATTTTTCTCATGGGCCTGGGACCGGTCCCAGGCCCATGAAATGGGACCAGTCCCAAGGGACCAGTCCCAAACGGGCCCAGGCCTGGGCCCGCAAGGGACCAGTCCCTTGCCCAGGTATAGGTGAATCTACAAGCTTCCACCCCTAATTTCAAAAATTATAGATTCCCACTCTTAAATTAACAAAAAACTATTTAATCTAAGAGTTAAAAGATTAAAATAATCATTTTAAAGATAAAAATTTTAAAATAACCTTTCATTTCTCAAATTCACCCCACCAAAAAATTTTAAAATAACCATTCACTTCTCAAATTCACCCTACCGATGATTTCAAGTCATTCTAGCCTGTTTCCGGCATAATTGACCCCTCTCAACACCACCATTACAATCCCCTCAACTCTCACATCAAAACCCCTAACCTCCCCGCCTGATTGAACCCCCCAATCGTCTATCGTCGCTTTTAGTGTCAATCGACATTTCATCCAAATTCTGGCAGGTTTCGACACCTAAATTCACCCTTAAGACCACCAATAGCATCGCTGGCTTCTCCTCACCAAAACCCCCAACATCGTCGACGACAATTGCCCGCCTCCTCTCCGTTAGGTTTTCGTGTTTTGTCGCCCTTTTCCAGCCAAATTCCAACACCTCACCAATGTGCAATCGAGTGGAAAAGTTAGGGGTTTTGGTGAGAATGATAAGGGGATGCTAATGGTGGTGTCGAGGGGGTCCAATGGTGTCGAAATCAGGCCAAATTTTTGGCTTGGCCGAGATCTCCTCTAGGGGTTATTTGAGAGAAATTTGAGATGTGAGGGTTATTTTGAGAGAAAAGTAACGGTGTTAATTTAAGGGTGGGAATCTGCAATTTATGAAACCAGGGGTGGGAACTGTAAATTAGCCAAACCTTGGGTGGGAAAATGTTGTTTACTCTAAACAAAATTTAGGCTCCGTTTGGTTCATTATTGGGTAGTTTTTATAATAATATTTTGAAAAAAAAAAGTTAAATTGAGTCGGTATTACGATGTAGAATTTTAAAAATTAACATAAATACCTCCTATATTTATTTATTTACTAAACACCCTTATAATAAAATATTCAAAATTAACAAAAACATCCCAATCCACTCATAAATATGGACAGCTGGCCACCACCACTGGAGGGTGGTCGGAGTCGCCGTATCGGCGTATGACTGGTTGGATCTTATCGGTTGTACACCGATATGACCTTTTCGTGGATCTGGCCAGAAAAGGCCAGATCTGCGGCTAGATGTGGCCATTGACGGCCAGATCTGGCCGCATTTGGTTGTCAACGATGGCCAAAGATACGACCGTCGTTGATGGTAATCGACGACCATATCTTGGCCATCGTTGATGACTGTCTACGGCCAAAGATCTGGTCGTCAAGATCTAGCCGTTGACGATCAGATCTTTGGCCGTAGATTTGACCTTTTCCGGCCAGATCCAATGTGGATCTAGCCGGAAAAGGCTAGATCGGCGTACTACCGACCATATTCAATCGGTAGTGTGCCATTACACCAGATTCTGGCCAGCTTCCGACAGTGGTGGCCGGAATCTAGTAAATTTGGGTTGCTGGGGTGTTTTTGTTAATTTTAAAATTTTTTTTTTAAAGTTGTTTAGTTAAATTAATAAATTTAGAGGGTTTAAAGGAAATTGAATAATTTTGAATTATATTTTGAAAATAGGTGAACCAAAGTTAACTTTTTTGGGAAGACTAGAATGTGTGAACCAAAGAAAGCGTCTTCCATGTTTTATCAGATATATGTTCAAATCAAAATGGGGTGTTATCTGAATAATCTAAAATCATATTTACCTAACAATTTAATTTTTTATTGTTGTTATTTATTATGTTGAAGGTTATTTTGCACTGAAAAATTATTTGTATAAATTACGAGTCTGACTTTCTATATCACATATTTAAACTGAAAACAAGCAAACTCTATTAAAAATCAATTAGTTGTGAGCATGTTGTATTAGTATTATACTCAAAATTTAATTAATGGGAGACCAAGTAAAAAATTATTTAATTTTCATATAATATTTAATTAACCTGTAAAAATTAAACTTTTATTTCAATAATCACGCAAAGTCTTCCTCACAATTGCTCAGTAACTTCCGTGTAATTTACTTTTTATTCTAAGATTTGACGGTTTACAAAAGCAACATTTTAAAATTAAAATAGATTTTTATTAATACAATTAAAGAAGAAAGTTTCAAATGAAATAAACTTGGGAAACAACAAAAGAGTGCCACGTATCCATATAAGAAAACCACTTTCACAAATACAATCAAAACATTATTTAATTATACAGAATAAACAATTACGTATATGTCATTTTAATTAAAGATGAAGTGACAACTGACAAAGTTAACATCGTCTCGGGAGACCCACCACAACCACAAGCAAATAGTCCTTCCACATCCGTCAACTTAATTATAAATATCATCATTTAATACCTTTTACGAAGTTTCCTGGAAGCTCCCTTCTTCCCCAATCACCATGGACTCCTTCTCTCTTTCTCCTTTTAACCTCTTCTTCCTCTTCATTTTCTTCCATCTCAACCCACTCTTATTTCTTCATCTCTTCTTCCCTTTCCCCTTCTTATTCTCATTTCACCCATGAAGCATATCATCCACAAACTCAGCCCCACACGTTTCTTCCTAAAGAAGAAAAAAGATAAAGTCACTCGTTCCCACCCTTCTTCTTTTAGCTCCTCCTCTTCTTCAGATTCTTCATCTTCCAATCACCATCGTAAACCCAGCTCAGCCCCGGATGTTACCTCCACTCCCACCAGTGTTTTACCCCAAAGATCCGGTGACTGGTCCGATATTTCCGCAGATATTCACTACGAGCTCGTCCAGGTGTTCAAGTTACTCGACAGTGACAACGATGGCCTGGTCTCCAGAACCGAGCTAGAGTCGCTCTTGATCCGGCTGGGAGCCGAGCCGCCCACTCAAGAAGAGGTGTCTTTGATGCTCAGTGAGGTGGCTTCTGACGGTGATGGTTGTATAAGCTTGGATGCGCTGACGAGCCGGGTGGTTGACTCGGCTTATAAGCCGGCTCGTGAACCGGAACTAAGAGAGACGTTTGATTTTTTTGACACCGATCATGATGGGAAAATAACGGCCGAAGAATTGCTGAGGGTGTTTACGGAATTGGGGGACCAGCAGTGCACGTTAGAGGACTGCCGGCGCATGATAGCACTGGTGGGTAAAAATGAGAACGGTTTTGTGTGCTTCGAGGACTTCTCTAAGATGATGGAGTTAGAGAGATGATCATGATTGTTGTCTTCTTGTTATTATTATTATTATGATGATGATCATGTGATGGTGCATGTTCTTGATGGTATAAAATGAAAGTAATTTCATTGTTTTTTGTTTTTTATTCATAAGAATATTATTTTTCTATTCGCATGCCCTTAATAATGATATTTATTATTTTTTGATAAAAGCGCTTGAGCACTAACAAAACAATGGCATGAAATAATCAAATTATTAATACGATAACACTAGACATACATAAAAAGTAAAGAGTAAACGGCTCTTTTCCACCAAATTTGCCTTAATGACATTTTTCACCAAAAAAGTTTTTAAATACCACTTTTTCGTTCAAACTTTATATTTTCATACATTTCACTGATGAGTTATCAGGAGCAGTGTAAGAGAGGTTTTGGAGGTCAATGGATCAAATGACAGTGATTGATTAAATATTCATCATAATACATTTCACTCGGGAGTTATCAGGAGCTAGCTAGTGTAAGAGACGTTTTACACCGGAGATTAGTGGATTTAAAGGTGGTGATTGATTAGAATTAGTTGAAAATACTAAAAGTAAGAAATAGAATGGTATGAGAAATTAAGTATGATAGAGTTTTTGTAGAGAGGAGATGAGAAATTTAGTAGGATAGAGTTTTTGTTGAGAGGAGATTGGAGCACGAGAAATTAGAACTCCGTTTGGTACGCTATTGGGAATGTTATTATTAGTATTCCCAATAAAGTTAAACAGTAAATGTCATTATTCTTTAAATATTATTCTATATTTTTTAATTTCTTTTAAACTCTCCTAAAATTGTTAATTTAACTAAACACTCCTAAATATTTTTTTTAAAAATTGTAAAAACACCCCAGCAATTCACATTTACCAGATTTGGCCACCACTGCTTGAAGCTGGCCAGAATCTGGTATAATAGTGCACTACCAGCTGAATCTGACTGGTAGTGCGTTGATCTAATATTTTCTGGTCAGATCCACGGTGGATCTGGTCGAAAAATGCCAGATTTATGGCCAAATATCTGGCCGTCATTAGCCGTAGTCAGTCGTCAATGATGGCTAAGATATGGTCGTCGTTGACCATCAACGACGATCGTATCTTTGGCCATCGTTGATGACCAAATGCAGTCAGATCTAACCGTCAATGGCCAGATCTAGCCTAGCTATAGATTTGACCTTTTTCGGTTAGATCCACTGTGGATCTGGTCGAAAAATACCATATCGGTGCACGACTGGCAAGCTTCAGTCGGTCATTCACCGATACGACGACTCCGGTCATCCTTTAATAGTGGTGGCCGACTGTCTGTATTTAATGGTGGATTGGGGGTATTTTTGTTAATTTTTAATATTTTATTATAGAGGTGTTTAGTAAATAAACAAATACAGAAGGTATTTTTATTAATTTTTAAATTATACATCGTAATACCTACTCAATTTAAAGTTTTTCAAAAGATTATTTTAAAAACTATTTAATAATGAACCAAACTAACCTAGGTGTCAGAAATTGAGTTTTTATAAAGAGGAGATCAAAGGTTTAAATGTCATAAATATAATTTTTATAAAGAGAAGATTAAAGGTTGAAATGGTGGTGATGTAGATAATTTTGCAGGACAAAAGTCTTTCCATGACAGCGATGAAAGAGTGATCCGGCAGATAGCTTTTAATAATAATATGTGTTTTAAGTTGTTTGGGCGGTAGCCTCAAAGTCAATATATGTTCCTCGTTAGTTGTTACTAAGGCAATTTGTAACCTTTATCTTTATATGTCGACCAATATTTCGGTGCAAGTAGTACCATGAATATGATCCTATAGTAAAATTTTGTCACCGATTCCCCAAAAGTATCATGGTTGGTAACAATGATCAAATTTAAATATAAGGTTAAATAATCTCAACTATTTATACCAGTATGGACATATTTAAATATAACATTCTATGATTAAAATTATTTAATTTAAGTAAATGATGGAATCGGATTTGGTAATATTATTTTATACACACATCAATATATGCCAACCTTTGATGCTCCATTTTTTAGTGGAAAAAAGTATTTTAATATTTTTACTGATGATTTTTCACATTATGAATATATCTACTTGTTTAATGAAAAAATTCAATCCGTGGGTACACTTGAGGTGTACATAAATGAGGTTGAAAGACAATTAGCTATAAAAGTAAATTTAATAAGATTTGATCAAAGTCGTGAATACTACGGGAAACATGCTGATTTAAGACAATGTCTAGGTCCATTTGCAAAGTTCCTCGAAAGTCATGGCATATGCACACAATATACTATGCCAAGCACACATCAATAAAATAGTGTGACAGAAAGACGTAATTAGACATTAATCGATATAATTAGGAGTATGATGAGTAACTCCTCATTACCTATATCTTTTGGATACGTGCTTTTAAAACTACTACATAATTAATGAATAGGGTTTCTAGTAAGGCAATCTCAAAACTCATTTTGAGTTGTAGACGGGAAAGAAACCAAGTTTAAGACACCTGCACGTTAAAGGTTGCCAAACGAAAGCAAGAATTTACAATCCACGTGAAAAGAAATTAGATTATCGAACAATTAGTGTTTACTTTACTGGTTACCCAGAGAAATCTAAAGGGTATAAGTTTTGTTGTCCAAAACATAATTTGACAATTATAGAGATTGGTATTGCTAGATTTCTTGAAAATGATAAAGTTAGTGGAAGTGATGAATGACGAGTTGTGAACGATATCTTCTTGTACCCATAAATGTTTCCTTATCCACAACTACTTCAAATTTTGTTATGGCTGTTGAAGAATGTCCTTACAACGTTGGACAGCTTTTGAAAGAGGATATACTCCCAACAGAAACTAACTCATAAAGATCTAGATCTACTCATCTCAAATGATGTGTAATCCTATTTAATGTTGATATATAAATGAAGTAACGCTTTAATAAATAAAATGTCAACACTACATACAATGACATATTACTTGAGATGAGATACGCTTAAATCTTGATAAATTAATAACTTTAATTAAAAAATATTTTTGGTTGGTCCCATCTCGGGATCAATGTGCTAAATTAATAATTCGCTAAATTTATAAGATAATACATTAAAAAAAAAAAAACACATAGATATCACTTGATATAAAAATTAATAATCTCCTTATACATCAAAATTATATATATACATGACTCAAATAGAAGGCTTTGTAAAATATGACTCAAATTTACTTGTTTCCTATAGACTAATTCCTATGCCACATTAACTATGAGCTATTCCTTATACTACATTAATTCTTAGCTATAAGTTACGCTGATGATATTATTTCCAACAATTATTCCTTATATTATATTAACTATACAAAATATGTACATGTATTAAGTTCAATGTTTTGAAAAAAAGAAAATAAAGAATGCCTCGATAAATTAATAATTTATTAATTTATATAATTAAATAATATATCGATTAAAAAATAAATTTTTATGATCCCAAAGATATTAATTTATCTAGGTTTAAATATATTTGAAATATCCATGAGGATGTGTAACTTTACTCTTAAATTATCATATTGGATGATTAAGGGTTATTTTAATTTCATCGTTGAGGTTTTTTATATTACACTTACCTCCAATATTATGGAATACAAACAATTTAGTTCAATTAGATGAAACTTTCCATAAAAAGTCTATAAGAACCTTGTTGTCTTATTAGCATGTTATTAGAAATAAATAAAATATAAAAATGAAGAAGTATACGTTACACAAAAAAAAAAAAAAAAAATCAATAACGGTTGTCGGTTGATATCCAAATATTATATGGACCTTGGAACTAAGGTACCCAAATAATCCCGTTGTTACCAAGACATGAAACACCAAGGAGATGCCGAGAAAGAGGAAGGATTGGTGTTGTCGTCGTCCCATTAATGCCTACACCTATTGTGCGTAGTAATACATGGCCTCATCGTTAGTCCTCCTAACAAAATAAGGTTCTCACACCACTTCAATGACTCAAATGATGGCATGTGTAGGAACCAATAATAGAGGACTAAAGCAATAATAAATGTCCTTGGAGAGTTAACCTTTGAAGGAACCAAACAAGCCTTTGGAACATGCTAAGGAGTTCCTACTTCCTAGTACGGAACCAAACATGTCTTTGGAGAGAGGCCGAGGAGTCTTAATGTTACAAAATGCTTAACAGAAGCACCAATCACCAGTAGAATTAGCAATCCATAGCAAGAAAATAAGTGAAATGAAAACATACCTCAAAATCATGGAGAAGAAGCGCCGACTTTGTTTGGAGTTCTTTTTTCGTTGTTCTTTGGCCTTTGGGATTTAGGGTTGCTTTAGGCAAAAAAATAATTTGGGATTATTTGTTTTTAAAAAACCGGATCGGATTCGGATATCCCTTTTTTTGCAGAGCTAATCCAGTATCCGGATCTTTCAAAATTGCAATCCAAATCCGATCCGGATTTTTCAGATTGGATCGGGCTAGATTCAGATGGGATATTAGATTTTTTTTGCACACCTCTACCTAGAATGTCACATATGAAACAATGGCGGGAACACTCCATAGTCATAGCCACTGGTCCAAAACCATGAAGACCATATAAAAACCCTCTTAAAAAGGTAAAAGGCAACTAATTCATTCATATTCTCACAAGTCCATACACATAAACACTCTAAAAATTAGCTCTTAGGGTGTGTTTGGTTAGGGCTATGGAAAGATAACTCCGGTAATCTATCTTCAATTTCGGATATTTCCTTGTTTGGTTGTCAAGTAATAAAAAATGTCGGTAATCTTTCAATACCAATAGTGATTACTGTGGGTTAAATAGGGGGTAATTAGATTACCTCCTTAGGGGGTGGTATTTAAAAATTACCAAGGTAATCTTAATTTTATACCAATTTTGCCCTTAATTAAATAACATTCTGGACATAATTGCCCTCAAATGTCTACCAAATAACAATCATCCAGACCCCTTACATTTTTAGAATTTAGCTAAAACACCTTAGTCACAAAAAGTTTAAAAGTTAACAAAATAGCCCTAATCACCAAAGACCACTGCCAGCCGCCAGCCACCACTGCTGGCCATCGAAAATAGTCACCAAATTGACACACAAGTGGCGGGATTTGGTGGGCCGTGCGTTGAT